TAAAAGGAAAATTGTTGCTTCCCACAAACAATGAGGGTGGATCATCTAAGTACCAAAAGGACAGACTATCCAGTCTGATTTGTGCAGGGGGTGCTGGGAAATCATTTTTAAAATTCACATGAGAAATATTAAAGACAGCCATTTTTTCACTTTGAAATTAAAGAAAAACTGTTATGTTGTTAGTTAATTATAAAAATACATTGTGTTTTTTAAGAAAAATTATTCTATAACAAGAACTTTGGTTTGGTGGGAAAGCTAAAAAATTAAAAATACAGCTAAGTTACTTACTTGCATCCCTGTTCATAAACATAAATAAAAATATATTTTTAAATATATTTAAAAAACACAGTCAGTTCTTCTGATGTACAACATATCAAAGTAAATAATATTATACCATGACCAAACAGATTTATTCTGTGAATGAAAAGAGATTTCAACATAAGAAAGGCTATCAAAGGAATTCTTCATCTTAACAAAAGAGAAAAATATCATATGATGAAGTTAAAAGGTATTTGATAAAATTGAGGAGTTAGTTATAACAAAATAAGTTCTTGAGCAATATATAATAGAACACTCTTAAGATGGTCAATAATATATATACACACGTAATGTAAAGACTACTTTATTACTTTACTGTTTATTTAAAAAAATATTTTAAACAGCGAACATCATACTGAGTGCTGAAATGTTAAAGCCATTTCCATTAAAATTAGAAACATGAAAGAGATGCCTTCTGTCATCATCATTGTTAAGAATTCTAGTGGTTGTCCTCCCAGAAAGGCCCTCCCTAGCCACCCTGTCTCAAATCCACTTCCTATACCCCTCCCATGCTTTCTTTTCTCCTCAGCATCAGTCATTATTTAATATTTCTATTGTTTATGTCTGCCTTCCATTAGAATGTACATTTTATTCATCTGTTTTATTCATAGTTGTATCCTCAGAATCCACAACAATGCCTGGCATTAATCTCAATAAAGTATTGCTGCATGAAGAATATGAGGCAATAAATATTGGAAGAGATAAAATTACCTTTTTATTAGTAGATGATAATATTGTATACCTAGAAAGCCCAAGATAAACTAGTAAAGCAGGCGTTAAATTTACTAAAATAACTGGAAAAGGTTCTGGAGAAAAGATGAATGTACAAAAATTAGGATTTTTTTTTTTTGGTACCACAGTAAGCACTTAGATATGAACATGGGGGAAATTTCTCATTCACAGTGGCAAATAAAAGTGGTAAATAAAAAGGTAATATAAAAAGGTGCAAGATGTACATGATTAACGTTACAAAAAGTTATTAAAAGAACTAGAATGGTATGTTATTATAGTAACATATTTTGGATAGGAATTCTTAATATCATAGAACATGATGTTTCCTTCATTAGTATAAATGTAATGCAATTCAAATTGTAATTCCAATAAAGTTTTGGGGGAAAAAAATAACATAATTATAAAATCCATATGGAAGAATCTATGTTTCATAAAGCCATAAAAATCCCCCCACCCAAAATCTAATCTATAATGGTGGACAGTTTTTCTTAAAAGATATTAAAATTTCCCATAAAATTACTGAAATCAAAGTAGTATGTGGCTAATTCAGAATAAATAGATAAGTGAACAGAATAAAGGCCCTATAATAGTGCCAAATGTAATGAAAACAACATTTGACTAAAGTGATATAAAATTCCCATGGACAAAAGATGGTTCATTTAATAAATAAAGCAGGAAAAATGAAATTTGGAAGAAAATTTGGAAAGAATTTGGAAGAAAATGAAAATTAAACTCTTCACGCTATACAAAAATAAATGTAATATGTGTTCAATTTAATTTTCTTAAAGCTTATTTATTTACTTTGAGAGAGAGAGAGAGAGCATTTGTGTGTGTCCAGGGGAGGGGCAGAGAGAAAGAGAGAGAATCCCATGCAGGCTCTGTGCTATTAGCATGGAGCCAACCAGGGGCTCGAACTCACGAACCATGAGATCATGACCTGAGACTTTTTGTTTGCATTTCCTAACTTGATACATATATTTTTCACGCAGCCTAACTATAGGATTTAAGTGAAATTTAGGTCTCATTTTTCCTTTTTGTTTCTCTATATACTTAAATTATATAGATACATTTTAAATAACTAAAAAGTATATATCAAATAAACAGTAACAACTACAAATATACTGAAAAAGAAAACATACCTTTTTCCCTAGCAACTTGATAAGCTATCCCACTGAAGTAATAGTGTCAATATGTAAGGATACATAAACAAGGCTATTTACTTCATCTTTATTTATAATGGCAAATACTGCAAACAAGTTGAATATCTATTGATGAAGTCTCAAAACATACATGTTGTCGAATAGGAACTCCCAAACTTTTTGGTCTCAGGACTCTTTACACTCTTAAAAATTACTTAAAACTTCAAAAGGCTTGTGTTTATGTGGGTTGAATTTATCCAAATTTATCATAATGGAATTTAAAACAGAAATTTAAAAATATTTACTAACTCACATATTATAAACCTACCACATATTAACACAATAACATATTTTATGAAAAATGTCTATTTTCACAAAACAAAACACATATGGTGAAAAGTGGCCCTGTTTTATATTTTTGCAAATCTCTAAGGACTGCCTTTATAAAATACAGCTCAATTCTCATTATCAGATTCTGTATTCAGTCTGTTACTGTGTGTTGTGTTGATTGAATATATGAAAACTCCAACCTTACAGAAAATCCAGATATTTAGTTGGAAAAGGGAAGATTATTTTAATAGATTATTTTTCTTCCATTAATTTAAGATGATTTCAATTTTATTTAATAAAATTATCTTTTCAGATAATTTTTCTATTCTTTTTTAATATTATACCAAAACTTGACAAGTGGCTATTTATTAAAGATTGGTTGCAATGTTGAATCTGAAACCACATCAATGAATTTTTGTACTGTTAGATTAAAATCCTTATTTTGCACATTGAATGGTTCTTTTACCCATTCATGATTTTGTAATATCATGCATTGATCATTTGGAAAATATTGGTTCACTGAGTTATGTAGATCTCCCAAATGTTAACACATTTCACTACACGATTTCAAAAAGTAAAATTCATTAATATCACCACTGGGTCTTGTGGTAGAGGATAAGGTTTTTTTTTTAATTGCTTGTAAGCTTGAATTTATCATCAGCAACAAATAATGTAATTGTTTTCCTTGAAATGAGGCTCATTTTGTTCATTTTCACATCTTTTTCATTTAATTTCAAATACCATATCTGAATAACTACAGTTTTTCAATCTTTCTTTTAAAAAAAAAGATGCTTCCTGGAAAAAGCAGCTAGTTTTAAGCCCAGAACTCAAGCACTTAAATGTTTTACCACAAGATAAGCATCACACTCCAGTATGCTGCAGAAGTGCTTCATGCAGTCTTCCCATTTCAACCCCACCCATATTGAAAAGGCATGTACTCAAAGACTGAGACTTAATACAATTAATTTTTACTGCTTCATTGATAGGCATTCTTCCAGTGACACCAAAAAAGTAAAATAAATACCCAAGCCAAACAAACAAAAAACCAGGGAGTTCCTGGTGGTGAAGAATATATTGAAAACCAGTACAGCTTGATGTGACTGCCTTGATTTGTGCTAAGCAGCCTAAGTTTGAATACAGTAACAGCACTTCCTTAGATGTGTGTGACTTAGGACATGTTTACCTAATTCCACTGAGCCTTAGTTTATCTGCAAAACGGTAATAAAGTACTGTCCACATTCAGATTTCCTGCAACACATGTGTGAAATAAAATGTTTAAGTGCCACGCAAAAGGCTTTAACACAGTTTAAGTGCCCAATATGTAGTAGATGGATTTCATCTACAGACTGTAGTATTAATAAGACCCGCAGCACAGAAGAACAGAGAATCTATTGTTATAAGCCACTGGGGAGTGGAATGTCAGAGTTAGAAATGAAAACATAGTTTTGTGATTTCCTTACTTAGTCTTTCTATTTGTAAAACATCCAATTGTGTTATGAGACTTGACTATCCAGGCCTCAGTTTAATTTCTAGAAGGAGAATACAATGTCCTTTTTTTAAAAAAATAAATGTTTATTTTTATTTATTTTGAGAGAGAGAGAGAGAACACAAGGTGGGGGCAGGGAAAGAGAGAGAGGGGGAGACATAGACTCCTAAGCAGGCTCCAGGCTCTGAGCTGACATCAGCGAGCCTGATATAAGACTCCAACTCACCAACTGTCAGATCATGGCCTGATGACTTGAGCCAAATTCGCAGGCTCAAAAGACTGAGCCACTCAGGTACCACAACAAAATGTCCTTTTATCTCAGCAGTAGGAAGACAAAACCAAAGTGGCCCAGACTATAGGAAGGCACTTATTACTCAAATATTCTCTGGGTTTTAGGGGGATCTAACTGATACAGATATGTCTTCGCTATCCTCAAGTAGAAGGGCTGAATATTAGGAAGCATTTATTGAGCACTTAAAGATGTTTTGAGAAAAAGTACTTTGTTTTGATTCGTATACTTGACCATGAACCACTGTTTAAATTCTCAGTTAATAATATACTGCAACCCCAAGGTTAAGAGTGGATAGTTATTTCTGGTTGATGAGGTAAGAGTTGATTTTTATTTTCTTTTTATGCTTTTTTTAAACATTTTCCTACTGTCAGCATAATCTGTTTACTGTTTTAAAGTTATTTTAAAATTTTTTCACAAGAAGAAAATCAGTGAGCTTGGTTTATGGCAGTTTTACTGCAATTTTGCACAGCATTTAAAATTTCAAATGATTAGTTAAAATTTGAAAGGAACAGTGCATTCACTTTAACAAAGGGAGAAAATACACTTCACTGTGGTTTAAACTGTTGACCCACAACTTTAAGAAAAGAAAGATTGCCTAGCCCAAAGCCATGATTTTAATGACACAATATAAGTGTTGTACTGAGCAGTAAAACACCGTGATTAAGTGCATGCTCAAAGCTCTACCTTCATTGGGCATCCACTCTTAGCAAAGAGCATGCAAATGAGTCACGGAACAGCCATCAATCTGTAAGTCTTGTCTTCACATCACCGACCACCTCTTTGAAACCCAAAACCCATAGTCAGCTTTCCATCCTGAAGTCCCTCCACCCTTGAGGAATCCACCTTCGGAAAGTTTTGCACCAGGCTCTCCTCCGAAACCTCATTCATGCTCATTTGGGAGTTGGAAATAGTTTCCCCTCTCAGCTGTATGGAAGAGAGTCCTGACAAAGAAGGAAAGCTGCCGCCAAGTTCTGCACTTGGGAACATGCACTGGGTGTTTTTAAAGGAAATCGAATCCTACCCATCATTTTCTTTAAATGTTGGTCTGGCTTCAGAAAGATTAGACATTCTGGGGAGAATTCAGTCATCTCCACTGAGATGATGGATTTGCAGCAGAGGAAACATGAGAGCAGAAAGAAGGGGTGACAACAACCAGTATCCCGCAACCAGTGAGTAGCCAAGTCCAAGCTCGCCTTCTGCTGTACTGGCTACCTCTGCTCCGTGACCAGCAGCCTCCAAGGTATTCGTTACATGCTTTAAATAAAAAAAACACAAAAAATAACCCCGTGTATGACCTGCAAAGTCGATCAGTAAGGAAGGAAGTAGAGAGATTTAAACCTCTATGTCTGAAAACGAAAAGTGGTTCCCACTGTTATTGGAGGGTTGTTCCCAAAGTCCTCCTTCAATTAACTTCGTTCCAACTTACTTATTAGTGCCTTAGTACACTGGCAAGCTCCTGGAAAACTTACAAGAATGAATGCTGATTAATAAGCCAGTAATGGATTGAATAAATAATATATGAGAAAATACTCTGAAAAAGACTCTGTGAAAGATTAAGTAAACTGCATTATGATGTCAGTGGTGTTAAAACAGAGCCTTGAACAAACATCCATTCAACTGTCCTGTGTGTTTCATAGGTATTCCAAAGGTATTCTTTCTAGTGCATTTTGGTTTGCTAATCCAGAGATGGATACATTATGCTAAATCTGGTAAATTATGCTTACCCTTGAGATTAAAAGCCCTTATTATATCTACTAACATCTAGTAACTATGAACCCCTCAGTTTGGGAGTTCATAATTTTTCAAGAAATTAGCCCAATAAAATATGAAAACCATGGGTCATTTTCTAAAATATTTTCATTTACCAAAGACATTCTAAAGCACACTGAAAATTTTACATTCATATATGTGGTTACAAAACTTATTATGTGATCACATTTTCCTGTTTTAACTTTTTATTATAAAACATAACAAACACAATTAATTATTAAAATAGAACCTTAAATAAATTCTACCTCATACTTTCATATGAGATGAGCAGAAAGAACTCCAGTTAAACATCTTGACAGTTAAACATGCATGCATGGACTCTCTCTCTCAAAGTAAATAAATTTTTTAATGAAGAAATACAGTGAAATAGGTCCCCTCAGTATTTCTGAAACATGTTAGGTTCATTCCCACGTCAACATTCTGATCAGACAATTACTTCTGGAATTCCTACTAGAATTTCATTTTACCCCACTCATCGTAACTCCCCAAATCCCATACGTCCTTTAGGGCCTCCATCAAACACCACTGCTTCTATGACACTATCATTTATTACAGCAGTTCACCATCTTCATTTTCCCACCTGAGACACAGCATAAAACAAAGACCTCAGCTCTTGAAGCCAGATAGACTTGGTTTGCTCCCTAGCAAAAAAACCTACCAGCTGGGTGAACAACTTTGTCCCCAGTAAAATGGTAAATTGTGATAATATTACTTCACAGAATGCTTATCATCAGACTGAATGAAATGTTGCACATGAAACTACCTGGCACTTAATAACTGCTCAATAACAGATTCATTCCTTCCATCCTTATTTAGCACCTGCCTAATTTCCAACTTATATTCAGTAATTATCCATGTGTGAAATTATCCATATGATTTCAACATATTCCTTAACATCACATTTCTCTCTGTTCCCCATAGCACCTGCCATAGATGTTGAGCTCATCAAAAGAGTTGTCCAATCAAATGACTTCAAGCTGGAGACTAAAGAAAGCAAGGGTTTTATTTTCTGAAAGGTAGCAAGCTCACTTTTTTTCCCAAGTCAGATTCAATTTATTTTAATAGGTCATTTCACTGCCCATGAGTTTCAGCCCCCCATTGGGCTCTATACGGGCAGCATGGAGCTTGCTAGGAGTTCTCTCTCTCACTCTCTCTCTCTCTGCACCTCTCCTGCTTATGCATTCTCTCTCTTTGTCTCTCTCTCTTTCAAAATAAATAAACTTTTAAAAACTCAATAAATAATTTAAATATATATAATAACTTGAAAAATTCGATACAATTATTGTTAGTGAGTTATGATGTAAGATCCCTAAAATATCCTGGGATATTTTTTCTTTCTGGTATAATAGCACTGTATCTTTTGATAGTTAACTATTCAAAGAAATACAGACATGGTGAGAGTACATTTTTCATGAGTTGTTCTAGATGCTACACAAATGTTTCATCACTTTAGAAAAAGCAGTGCTTATTCTGATGATTCATAACTATGTTTTATATGTTTCAGCTTAATGGACATGTTCTGCTTTCTATTTAAAGCAGGAATTAGTTACATGTAAATTATTAGCCTTTTAGTTTTATCACCCACTGAGTATGCCAACCTAAGCAAATGAAGGCTGATAGCCTAGTAAATGTTCTGTGGATTTTAGTATATGTGCTGCCGAAGCGAGCACAATGTTCTGTGGATTTGAGGGTAGACTTGAACATTGTAGTAAATCACGAACAAACCAGACACAAAGCCCAAATGTATAAAGGAACAAATGAGGTCATTAGCGTGGTCTGTATCTCTTGAAGGAGTGGGGCCTTGGCAAGGGCTTAGCCAGCGACAAAGGGCAAAGAAGTTTTCAGACTAAGAAGCAGGGATGTGGTTTGGGATAATCAGAATGAGAACTCTCTACTTTGTGCCAGGCATTGTGTTAAGTACTTTACATTGGAGGTAAACTCCATCAGTCAGTGGACCACAATCTCAAAAGCAGCAGCAATATTCACCTAAAGAAAGTGATCATAAATTTGTTTTTAGTTTTTGTCTTGAGGGGGAAAATTGATTTCATATAGTTAGAGAACAAAGAAGACTATGACGTTTGTTTAGCTGATTTGCAAGGCTGATTTTATCTTCCATTTGATTGTATGTTTTATGTTTCCCACAGTTAAAATATTTTACCCTCTGCAATATTTTGTAGTATATTAAGGAAATCACACTTAAAATATTAGATCATGTTTTAATACGGTTTTAATAATAGATCATGCATACGGTGTATGCATGAAGCCAACATTTCTCCCATTAACTTGATCATTCATTCATTCTATTTGTTGCAATAATTCCTCCGTGAAGGTAGTGTTATAGGTGTTGGAGATATAGGGGTGAACAAAACACATAGTCCCTACCATCAAAGAGCTTAAAGTCTAAGGGAGGAGGCAAACACTAAGCAAATAACCACACCAATATTTAGCACAGCAGGTCTGAATCTCAAATCAGAAACTCAGGTGTCCAAGAAATGTACATTCTGAAATTCAGTTTCTAGCTCTAAGTCATCATTCCACCCAGCTGGCAGAAACAACACACACATAAAGTAATATCAGTCACTCTTAATTAGATTGCTACTCTAAAAGTATGGGAGAGTCTATAAGATGAGGAAAGGGAAGGGTGGAATGCAATGGCTTCAGTGCTTTGGATCGGCTGCCCAGGGTCTAAGAATAATTAGTTTTATTTTTCTTTTAGTCTTGATAAGCAACGATGGTAGAAAATTTTTGATAAGTCAAAAATACATAATACAAAGAAACATATTTTTTAATTGAATCAAATTTTTATTTTGTTACACAGTGTTATGGAAAGTCCAACCTTTCAGAAAGACAAAGAGAGGAACCACAGTGATTTATATCAGCAGGAAACTTATTATTATTACCCCACCTAAGCTCTCAATCCACCCCAAAATTACCTTGCTTTTATTTAAAAGATGACTCCAAAGAAACAAGTTGCAAAGAAGTTGAAAGTTTAAAAAGGCAGTTTCTATTGTTGCACAGACTCCCTTCTTAGTTTTAGACTCTTTTTTCCCCCAGAGATTTTAGTGAGTTTCAGATGCCTCTCCTCTCCACTTAGAATGCTTTAGAAAACAGGCCATCCTGTCCTATGGCCTCAGTTAACAAAACGGCGGACTTGTTCTCACAAACAGCATGGAATAGGCTGTTCGCAATCTGTTTGGAGGAGTTGTTGCCGCCCACTCTCCTATTTGCACAAGCTAGCTCTAGAACCCTTCATAAGATAACATTCTGATGCCAACTATAGATCGAGGACTTTCTATTTTCTCTCTGGGCCCACTTAAGTCTGGGCTTAAAACCCAGAGCCAATTTGGGGCACGCAGAGGAGGGTGCCCTGATGTGTCCCAGACTAACTCTTCTCACTGAATTGGGAGTGTGATGCCTGCTGGTGAAGTGATGCAATTTTGACATTTGCTGTCATGTTGTCTGCTTGTCAGTCTAAAACCTTCAGCTTTCAAAGATAAGAGCATAAAATTCTGATTTAAAGTTGAGTGTGAAAATATAAAATAAAATAAAACATAAATGAAGTTGGGTATAAGAATCCAGTATTCTCCTAACACTAACACATGCATAATTCATAAACTTGGAAAACAGATCTTAGAAAGCAGACGTGAAATTCTATGAAACTGCATCTTGTAAAGATTTTGGTTTCAGTAATTCTAGTAATTTCCAAGCTTTGCTTCTAATGGAATAATAATTTTCTAACCTATTTGGAGATTTTGTAAGAACACATATGTGGTTATGTGTACTTGGAATATGACTAAAAATATTAAGAAAATCTCAGCAAAACTCTTACAATTAGCCTAGATCACATATCTCTGAAATAAAAGTTTATTAAGTTTATGTTAGGTTGAGAAAGAAGTTATACATCAAATATCATTTTCTAACATCAAAATCCCAGCTTACCGCATACAGATTGGACTACTGGATATTAAACACTGTTTCTTTTTCTTTAAACAGTAACAAGAGAAGTTATTAGTAATGATGAATTATCCTGGTTGTTTTGACTTGGATCCAATCAAAGTAGCTATTATGTCTCCCTGAAAAGAAAAAGTCAAACAATTAAAATGCAATAAAATATAAATTAAGAAGCAAAGGAGTCTTTAAAATACCATTTAAAATTTATAAATTAGTGATACATATAAAGGGCATCCAATGAGATTGCAAAAAGGAAATAAACCTAGGTAAGTTTAAATAGTAACAGTTACTTCCTAGTAAAAGCCTGCTTTTTCCATTGGAGGACTCTTAAAGAAGTTTGATAAACAATTTTATAAGGATTCTGTTAAGGGAACATTTTTGGCAGCTTCTGTTTAGCTTTAATTATGTAAACCTCAGTTTTCTTATCTGTAAAGTAGCTTGTGATCTTAATTATATCTTAAGCTCTTTCCTGACCTATAGTGCTTAATTTAGAGAGAGCTTAAGATCTGAATTCCAATGTGGATTTTGTATTTAATTTAATAATAACAATCTTATACTAAAGGAGTAAAATAATAATCTATAAGAGGATGAAACCAAAGATGGTAGGTGAGTTTTTAAGAAAGATACCATGAACTAAATTCTACACATAAAACTAATATTAGACTGTATGTTGACAACCTGAAATTTAAATAAAAACTTGAAACAATAGGGGTGCCTGGGTGGCTCATTTGGTTAAGCATCTGACTCTTGATCTTGGCTCAGGTCATGATCTCATAGTTCCAGAGTTCCAGCCCCAAAATGGGCTTTGTGCTGATGGCATGGAGCCTGCTTGGGATTCTGTCTCTCCCTCTCTCTCTGCCCCTCACCTGCTTGTACTCTCACTCTCTCAAAACAAATAAATAAACCTAAAAAAATAAAGTGTCATTCCTTCAGATTAAATGAGAATAATATTTAAAACTTGAAACAATAAATAATAAAATAAAATAAATAAAAAATAAAGATACTGTGAAAAGATGGGAATTGAAGCAGAAGACCAGAATTTTCTCTACTACACAGTAAAGGTGACCTTAAAATAAATCATTGATATCTGAGAATCTTAGTTTCCTTGAATGGATAATAGAAATATTAACAATCACTTTGAAAAATTGTTATAAGAGCTGAATGAACTAATGTATGTAAAAGAGTTTTACAAAACTTTAAAGAGTTACAAACCCCTTAGATGATATTACATAAGTTAGTCCTGTCTTTTAGCCTGTACTGATGATGACATTCCCCATTCTTCAGGTCCTGACACAAAATCAGTTGCCAAGCTGCTTCTCACATCCATCTCTTTCTACTTCAGTCTCTCACTTGGGCTAACACAGTAGATCACTACTTTAATTTATTCACTGTTATATTCTTAGCACCCAAAACAGACCCTGTCACATAGTCCATACTCAGTAGATATTTGTTGAATGAAGAGTCTATATGTAAATACCCAAAGTACAGAGAAAAAATGGCAAACATTTATATACTGAAACATAAGTTTAGAAATAGTATTCAAGAGTGATTCTCCACAGACTAGCTCCAGGAAAAAAAAAAAAAAAGGTCGCTTTGTACAATGCCCCACTGGAATTAGCTTCTGCCAAGTACTCAAACTATAATTCTGTTCAACATAAGACTTGGGCCCCCAGCAACCAACCACATAACACTAGAGGAGGAGATGGTGCTTCAACAAACAATAATGCTAAGTCGTGGTGAATCCCGTTGGCAGCTAGATACATCACAAAATTATCATTGCAAAGTTTGGACCCCATACCCTGTTCATACCAGGCATCACAAAGATATTACTCTTAACCACAAACCCTGATTGGTAGGACAGGGCAGGAGCCAATGTTCTACTATGTAATATCACAGTAATATTCTGGTCCTTGAATACATCAAGGAGCTGCCAGAGTTTCAGAAATTATTTCACTTAAAACATCTATAGCCCAAGGACCAAAGTTCTCTTGCTGTGCAAGGATGCGGTGGGTGCTGAACAATATGGAGATGAGTGGGAGTCGTGGTTCTATACCTATACCATGGTCCTTGGTATATCTCCATGGCTTTTCTCCAATGGGCCCTGCTCCAGCACACTTGGTGCAAGTGTATTCTGGTAGTTTGCCATTGTGAAACACGTATTCCTGTTGAAGTTCCTTTTGTACCTATCCCTAATCCTCTTCTTCCCTCATTCTTCACTTCCCAGAGGCAGACTTCATTATAAATTTGGCGTACATCTTTCCTATAGAATGAAAACAGAAGCCTTCCAAAATTTTGATTCACTCTTGGTTAAATTACTGGAAAAATTATAGGACATAATATTACTTGATCAGATATCTTAATAGGAAATAATGGTTTGACATTAATTACTTTGAGACTTCAAATTACTATTTGATTATAATTCTTCTCTGAAAAGTTCAGGAAAAAGTGTATCAGGTGAGCCTGTGTTTGTCTGTAAGTAACATAAAATCTGATTAATAGGTTTTTGTTGAATCTCCCAGAAGAATAACACTGAAGTTTTAAAATATAATGACCAAAAGCATGAAAAACATATTTGTATTAGAAAATTGTGTTTATCAATGTATGCAATATATTTCTTGCAAGAAAATTTTGCTCACCAGCACTGAAATCATTCACACACACACACACACACACACACACACACACACACACACACGTTTTTCAAAAATGTTCACACTCTCAACTTAGCCTTCTGCTTGCAGAGCATACTGCTCAAAATAAAAGATATCTCTAATGTATCTATATACCACATCTTCTTTATCCATTCATCAGTCAATGGACATTTGGGCTGTTTATATAATTGGGCTATTGTAGAACATGGTGCTATATGGATGGAGCTAGAGAGTATTATGTGAAGCAAAAGAAGTCAGTCAGAGAAAAACAAATACCATAGGATTTCACTCATATATGGAATTTAAGAAACAAAACAAACAAGCACAGAGGAATAAAAGAGAGAGGCAAACCAAGAAATAGACCCTTAACTATGAAGAACATACTGATGGTTACCAGAGGGGAGATGAGTGGGGATGGGTTAAATGATAGGAATTAAAGAGTGAACTTGTTATGATGAGCACCAGGTATTGCATGGAAGTGCTGAATCACTAAATTCTGCACTTGAAACCAATATTACACTGTATGGTAACTAACTGGAATTTAAATTTAAAAACTTGAAAAGAAAAGTTAAAAAAGGATATCTCTCATCAATTCAAATCAAACACAAAAATGAAATCTTTTTCTTGCACATTCCAATCTATATTCTATACTTTTGCTAACTATAAATATGTCCACTAAGAACACAGCTTTTATATTTGTGTTTAAATACTCTTACATAAATCATAACATATTGTACTTATCTTCCTCCAATTTATTTTTATCACTCAACACATATTTAAGATTTATTCAAAATTTGTCATATTGAGACACTGAAATATATATTATTTAAACTTCTGTATTACAGTCACTCATGTGAATGTGACATATTTTATTTACCCAGTGTTTCACTGATGATCATTTAGGTTGTCTCCAACTTATCAATATAGAAACAAGGCTGTTATGAACATTTTCATTAGCATGTCTTTCAGACCACTACTAACAAATTAAAGAAAACCTTGGAAGATATACAGAATCCAAACAGATAACAATTTAAACATCTATAAAGATTGTAATCCTACAAGATAGGAAAAGTATAGTAATTTAGAATTCATGACACAGTAAATAAATAACTTGAAATCAATCAAGTGATGTAGCAACATATTCAGGGTTGCAGGCTTCCATGAGAAGATAGAGAACATGGGTAACAGGTAAGTAGACTTCAGGAGACATGGGCTTTGAGACCATTCCAGATGGAGGGCATGAAAAATCAACTTTAAAGCAGGGCTCAGCCTGGAACCAAAGTAGTTAGGAACATCTCCTTAAATGTCCACAGTTAATATCATGTGAGCCAGTTGAGTAAATCATCTCCAAAACTACTTGGAATGCTTTATTTGTTTCTTTACTGGGGAAACCTATTTTTACACTGAAAGAATAATAATTGTGTATAGAAATAATGCAGCAAATCAAACAGATCATTTTAATATTTTTGTATTAAGGAGCTTGTACATATTTCATATTTTAAATATTCATTATATGTAAGAGAATTTGCCATTATTAGATTGCCTAGCAAATAAATTTGTGATTCTAATTTAAATGTGTAATTGGGTAATTGATTTAGACTTGTAATCATAGACTGAAATATTATTCATTTATTAAAAGCATTGGAACTTTTAAGAAAATTTAAGATTCATTATATTCAACATTTAAAATGTATTAAATTAATAAGAATTCCTTAAGTATCAGATTGGTTTGTCCATAGATGGTTGAAGTACTTAAAAGTCTATATTAAATTGATAAATTAAATTTAGAGGATTTAAAGAAGTTGGTTACAAAGCTTACTGAAAGTGTGTATTAAAATTTGCTAGACTTAGAAACAGAATAATAAAATATATTATCTAAATTTAAGAACTTAAGGTGAACAAAGATTTTTTAAAAATTTTATAGCATATTTGAATGTGAACATTTTAAGCAAAAGTAGACTGAGTAATCATCTCCATGTACAAAAGAAACATTAAAGACAAAAGAAAAAACAAACAACCCAGTGAAGAAATGGGCAGAAGATATGAACAGACACTTCTCCAAAGAGGACATCCAGATGGCCAACAGACACATGAAACGATGCTCAGCATCCCTCCTCAGCAGGGAAATACAAATCAAAACCACACTGAGATACCACCTCACACCAGTCAGAATGGCTAAAATGAGCACATCAGAGAACTCTAGATGCTGGTGAGGATGTAGAGAAACGGGCACCCTCCTACACTGTTGGTGGGAATGTAAACTGGTGCAGCCCCTCTGGAAAACAGTGTGGAGGTTCCTCAAGAAGTTAACAATAGAACTCCCCTATGACCCAGCAATAGCACTGCTAGGAATTTACCCAAGGGATACAGGAGTGCTGATGCATAGGAGCACATGTACCCTAATGTTCATAGCAGCACTCTCAACAATAGCCAAAACATGGAAAGAGCCTAAGTGTCCATCAGCAGACGAA